GTTGATGGTTCAGGGGAGGGGGTTAGGCGCGGCGCCGGTACCGGTGGTGGCGTTGGCGTTGGGGTTGGGGGTCTGGGTGGCTGGAGTGACGGGGCAAGGAAGTCAAGTGGTTGGGAGGGAAATTATTATTATTATTTTTTTTAATTTTGTCTTTAAGAAAAATTAACTTTTAAAAATATTTATTTATTTAGTTTTACAAATCATAGGCGACACATGTCAAGTAACTTGTTATAACGAGTTACATGAGCAGTTGAGACCATTTTGAGTGGATTGATATCAAAGGTTAGATTATTTAAAAATAATCGAAAAGTGGAATTATTTTGAGTAGATGAGCCAAAGGTCGAATTATTGTGGTCAATTTTTCCTTTTTTTAATGACACTTTCTCTTTTGGAAATACTTTACATTTTAATAATATACTACCTCTCCTGTCAAAAAATAAAATAAAATAACATACTATCTCCGTTTTTATTTAATCGACACCTTTCTTTTATCACTTGTCAACGCACTATTTTAACGATTAATATGTCTAATTTTTGCCATTATAAAAAGTGGATGTTAATAAAATATACATTAAAATGATTTAAACAAGATCCCCACTTGACTATGTTTCATCGTAACTATAAATTACAAAAGTCAATCAAAGTGTAGTTTGTGAATAGTGTAAAAGTCAAATGGTATCAACTAAAAAAAACGGAGTAAGTATAATTTTACCCACAAATGGTCTCAATCTTTCTTACTTTATCAATTTTCCCTCTTTTAAAAGTTTGAATCTTCAATAATGGTTTCCACTTCCTCTTATATCCCTTTAGAGCAACTTTGATGGTAAGTTAATTAGAAAATTAGTTTGTTACGCCACACAAGATTTAAAGCTAATGCACTTTGTAGCTAATTTGTGCCCCTATGGTTAGCTACTAGCCTGTGGTTTAAATGAGCCTTAATTTCTTAATTAATTTTTTAAATTTAAAATATTAATATATCAACTTTTCTTTTTGGCAAGTTGTTGCTTAACCAAGCTTCTATCATTTTTTGGCTCTAATAGTCAAGCTAATAGGTAGGGAATTTTCTAAATTGCAAGCAAGTCCATTGTTATAACGGTTGGAGATGCTCTTATTTTTCAATAAAATAATAACCTCAATATCTTTTCTAATAATTTTTTATGATCCTACTTACCTCATTAACACTTATTTTATTAAAGTCAATAAAACCTTCCTAAAATTTCGTGCTTTCACAACGCTAGCATTTTTTTTAAAAAAAATAGAGAGATTAAATGCAACATTTTGCTATTCATATACCATGCTTGACTTAATTTTTTAACTATTATAAAAGCAACTCCAATGGCAAGCTAATTTTCAAATTAGCTTGTCATGCTACATAAACTTTTCAACTAATTATCTTTTTAGCTAATTTGAGTCCCAATGGTTAGCTATTAGCTTACTACTTAAATTATTTAGTCCGTATTAATTTACTTTTTGTATTTTCTTTTGGGCAACGTATTAATTTGGCTTTAGTATTTTCTTTTTGGCAAGTTATTTTCAAACGAATTAGTTTGACTAAACTAATTGCATATTCTAGCTCCAATGGTCAAGCTAGTATCTAAGAATTAGTTAACATTACAAGCAAGTCTCTAGCTATTACCATTGGAGTTGCTCCAAAATAAATAAGGAAATTATACCATGTAAGTATGTAACTCTAACGTGTGCACTATTTTTGAGGTAACCTTAAACTTGTAAAACATCAGTCAATTGGATAGAAAAAACAAACACTGTTAATAGTTTCACTTGTTTTTTTCACTGCAATTCAAACTTATTTGTTAAACTCACTCTTTCTTTCTCAATGATAATGAGATCTTGTTTCTCTTCTTCTATTTTATATCCTCAATTTCAAGACTAAATACAATGGATGAAGGCAATATCAACAAAACTCTATTTTTAGTTCACATAGCTTCAAAAATTAAACCTAACCTAAAATTTTAATGCCTTCCCATTTTGAAAACCTAACATTTACCTTCCCACGTCATCCACTAAAATCAAATTAAACATCAAATAAAAAAACAGAATAAGGAAAAAGAATGAAGACTTGGGAAGACTAAAAGAACTGCATATTATCTTCATTTTCTTTCATATTTTCCATTTAAGTTTAAAAATTATGAAATCAATGAACATTGTTTTGTTTTGGGATTTTTCATATGGTACCACTCAACTTTTGGCTTTTCCATATGATATCCAAATATATTTTTCTTTTACGTGGTACCACTCAAGATTATAGTTAATTAATACAGTGACATTTCGTTAGTTAAAACTTTTTTTTTTTTTTACGAATTCGCATACCAATAATATTATATACTTCCTCCGTTAACAGTTATCTGCAACATTTACTAAAATTAGATACTACCTATTATTTGCAACAAAACTATTTCTTTCCTAATATAGTAACTTTTTTATGGTAAAATGTAATACCCCAATTTTTTTTTATATTTAACCAACTATTTTCTAGTATAAAGCTTTAAATTTATAATTATTTTCAAATTTATATAATATGAAAAAAAGAATTAATAATTATTATTTTATTTTTATTTTCGGATTTTTTTTTTTTAAAAAAAAAGCTGATTTTTGGGATAAATTCCAGGAACTGATTATTTGTAAGCTATTTTATCTAAAATTTGAATGTTTAATCTTATCATAGTTACTTACTTGAATCTATCCCAAACCTCAATCTCACCCAATTCCCACATTATAAAATTGTTGGCCGTGAGAGGGGGGGGGGACACAAAAAAGAAATAATACTACTCTTCTTCTTCCACCCTTCATCTCCATTGATTGATAGACGAAGGCTACTAGGTGAACGTTTCGGAGGTTACTTACCTTGATATTTACGCGTAACTCAAGACGGAGGCTAATAGGTGAACGTTTCGGAGGTTACTTACCTTGAGATTTACGCGTAACTAAAGATTGGTAAGAGGGTATTCGGTTACGTGTGAGGAAACATTAGAATAATCACGTAGCTAAGATAATTTAGTTTAATTCCGAACTTATTTATTTCCTCGTTAATTAATGTTTTTTTTTAAAATGTTTTACAGTTTGGATGTAACGACTATTTTATCTTTGCCGTCGCTTAGATCACATAGTTTATAAAATGGTATTTTGTTTTGCTTTGCATTTATTTTCTATGGAAAATAAGTGTAGCAATAACACTCCCAATGTTCGATGGTTGGTTTTGAAAGGTAAAAAGGTTACTCTTATCATTTTACAAAGACCCGAATATTGGGGGTGTTACATAAAATGACTAAAACACCCTCATTTAAAAAATATTAACACATAATACTACACATAATTACTAATTATTATAACCCTAATCTAACTTAGTTATCTAACTTTTTTTCCCAAAATATCAGATCTCCCCACCATCTCTCTCCTCCATCTTCATCTCTCTACCATCTTCTTCGATCTTCATCTTCTTCCTATCATCATCATCATCATCTTGAACCACCAATTTCTTCATTTTCGTTCTTCTTCCTATCATCCTGTGTGGCATGTGGCGTATGGTGGTGGTGGTGGTTGAACCACCAATTTCTTCATTTTCGTTCATCTTCTTCCAGATCTGTGGGTTTCATTGTTTTAATTGCTATGTTTTGGACTGTGAATTTTTTTCAATTTAATGTCCAATTTTAACTGAATAAATAAAAAACTTCGATTTTCTAGGTTTGAATTGGGTTCCTGCGGTGGTGGTGGGTTCTTGGGTGCGATGGTGGGTTCGTGGGTGGTGGGTTATTGGGTTCGTGGTGCAGATCGTGGGTGGTGGGTTCTTGGGTTCGTGGGTGCGATGGGTGGTGGGTTGGTGGTATCGTGGGTGCGGTAGCGGGTGGTTTCGTGGGTGAGGTGTTTGTGGCGGTGGTTTTGTGGTTCCTGGGTTGTTTCGGTGCCGCTGGGTGGTGGTGGTGGTTTCGGTGCCGCTGGGTGGTGGTGGTGGTTTCGATGCTGTAGGGTGGTGCTAGTGGTGGTGGGTTATTATTTTAATTTTAGCTGAATTTGGTTTTTTTTTTGGTTGGATTAATACTTAACCATATGCCCTTAATTTTCTATAATCATGCTTTAAAAGTTTTTCCTTGGCCTCCGCGAAAGGTACACTTGTTGTAAATAACCATTAACGGAGGAAGTATTACCAATGTCCACCTTGTCAAAAGTAACATGAGGAAGAACAAATTGAGGACACTTCTCCATCCAGATTAGTTCCTCATGACATGAAAGGAACAATTTGGCGATGGAGTCTGCAACTTTATCACATAGTCTATGACTAAAATTAAAAGAACAAAACTCAAACTTGCTTGTTTCCTTCAAGATGTCATTGACAATTAACTGAGCTGTTGTCCTCTCAGTTATATTTGCCTCAATGAGGTTCAGTAAGTGAAGACAGTCAATTGACAATTCTAGCTTGCTAAAACCATCATCAATTGCATAGCATAGTCCAATAATTATAAGAGTTTTAGAGCAAGCCATAGAGGGATTAGGCCTCTTTTGCTCAAAAATGTTAATTACAAATGTAAATCCAAAGAATAATATTCATATTACTCCGGCTTTATGATCGTCGCCGCCGTTCATTCCGTCGGAAGATGAATCCTTCGCTTCTTCACTTTGTACTTTCGCAACCTCATTCGCCACCCCTGTTGACAGAGATGGTGACGTGGATGAGATGTTTTCCGGCGATGAAAGAGAATCCGATGAGTTTTCCGGTGAGGGGATGGTGAACCGGTGTCGAAAATGACATTGTTTGTATGAGATAATGAAGGTGAAGCAATGTAATTAACGGATTAATTAACGAAATGTCACTATTTAATTACCTATAATCTTGGGTGGTATCGCATGGAAGAAAAAAATGTATTTGGGTACCATATGGAAAAGCCAAAAGTTTATTGGTAGTTTGGTAGCATATGAAAAATCCCTTTTATTTTTATATAAGTTAAAAGTTTAAAGTTATCTTAGGGAGTAATAAAGAAAAAAGTAAAACAGATAATTAGTTTATTTATTTATTTTTATAAAATAGCTGGACGTACCATTAATTAGATTATTCTCCAACAACAAAAGTTGAAAACTTTTGCCTTCTCTTTTATCTCCCTTAATCGTTGGGGTGACCTTTACCAAATCGGTGTCCTTGCAAAGACGGACATCCCATCATCATCTTCCATCTTCTTCTCTTTTCCCTGAGTCAAATTCTTTACTTTATTGTTTCAAAAGAAAAAAAAAAATTTCTTTACTTCATCGAACGTTCATCTACCGGCGTCAAGGGCTCTTAATTTTCACTTCTCTTTCTCTCTCCTCAAGGTGCGTTGCTTTATCTTATTTCTTCCTATCTGTTGAACACATCCAAAACCCTGAAATTAGAATTCTTTTTTTTTTAATTTTTAATTTTTAAGTTTTATAGCTTAGATCTTTCTGATTTTCAGTGCTGCTGATGGGTATTTTTTTCATTATTATTTTAATTACACATCAGGGTTTTACTTTCTGATTTTTAATTGATCTGCGTTTTTTATTATTATTTTTTTAATTAATTGTTAAATTATCTGTTCATGTCCTTTTAAATTCTCAGTTTTTTTTTTTTTTGGTTAAATCATCTGAGAAATTACGTGGTTGGTGTATCTTATGCTTTACACCATAAGAGGTAAATGATTATATAGGCTGAAGGTGGAGTTTTACTATTGACTGAATACTTTTGAATCAGGTTTCAAGTAATTGTTGTATAATAAACTGATCTAGCTGCTGTTCTCAGCTTCTCACCCCTCCGCAATAATATTGGTGTCTGACTGTCTGGCACATGTTTATATATGCAGAAGTCTTGTAGAATGTTTCACAAGTGTGCTTAATTAGTCTTTATTATGTTATAATGATTATTGCCTACTTCTAGAGCTTCACAGGTAAGCTTAACATTTGACTTGATTTGTGGACATGATTTTCTGACTTTAGAAGGCTATTCCGTGGGACTGTGTAAAGGAAATGGCAGCAGAGGAGCATACTGATTTATCAGTTTCAAAGCCTCGGCTAGGTGAAAGAAATGCAATGTGGAAGGAGGAGATGGAAAGATGTGAATCCCAAGTTGATGCATTGCAAGTGAAATGTATGGAGGTAAAAGCCTCTATTGCTGGGTCTGAAGTGGAGGCTGATAACGAGTTGGATATTTTATTACGTAGAGTGAAAACAGCGGCAACTTTATTGACCTATTTGAAGACTAGAGCACGAACAATGGCGGTTCCGCACTTAGCACAGGCATCTTGTGGGATAAAGCAGCTGGAAGGGATAGGGTTTGTTGACAAGGACGGAATTCCATTATCTAGTTGGTCTAAATATATTGATATTTTATCTTTTGATGGCCTTGGTGACGTAACATTTACCGGAACGAGTGACCAAAGTGGTCTTGTTTGTGATAAAGATGGAGCCTATGTGTGTGATCTATTAAAATCTGTGCATATGGTCACAAATGTGATGGAAACTTTGGTTAAAAGGGTCCTAATTGCAGAGTCTGAAACTGCTATTGAGAAGGAGAAAGTAAACTTCAGTCAAGAAGAAATTAAGAAGAAGGAAACTCAACTTGAAAGCATGACTTTGAAGTTGGAGGAGATGGAAAGATTTGCTTTTGGAACGAACTGTATTTTGAATGAGATGAGGCAGAGAGTTGAAGATTTGGTTGAAGAGACATCTAGGCAAAGACAAAGAGCTGCAGAAAATGAGCAGGAACTTTCTCGCGTAAAGCGTGATTTTGAGTCTCTGAAATCATATGTCAGTAGTCTCATCAGTGTTAGAGAAACACTCATTTCGTCTGAGAAACAATTCCAAACTATTGAAAAGCTCTTTGAACGGTTAGTATTTGCTCAATTGTTTATATTATATATATATACAAATTTTTTTTTTGCCACCTTTATTATTTTTTTGTTGCTTTGAATTTTATGATTTTTGGAAGGTTATTTCAGATCTGCTAGTCAAATTATTGCTGCTTTTATAAACCGGTCACACCAGCCACCAAAGTTTGAGTAATTTAATTATGAATATACAAACACTAATAAAATTTGAAAGCTTGATACCAAAAGCAGAAGACAATTGAGAGGGAGAAACTATGTCTATATACTTTACTTATTGATTGATAAATTGAAATCAAAATTGTTGTAACTTAGATGGAGAAGAGTATGGAGAAAGGAGAAAATCGAATAAATTTGTTCCAAAAATTTGAAACTATTGACCTAAAGTAATTCAATTGACGAATTAAGATTAGATTTGAGAGAGAGAAAACCATAAATTAGAGAGAGAAGTGATCCAATTAAAAGTTTTCATAGGTCTGGCTTGTGAAGTGATCCAATTAAAAGTTTTAATAGGTTTGCCTACAAGCCGCACATGTTTTTTCCCTCAAGCAAATGCTTACAAATCTTGTAACAGTATATCTATTTATGATGGTTGAGATTATTTCTCACCCTTATCACCTTAAGGAGGCTTCTCATATGATCCTAAACCATCCTCACATATCATCTTTCTCTTACGTTATGTTACCTCACTCCAAACCCATCTAAAAGCCACATTCTCTCTCGCTCTCTATCTATCTATCTATCTATCTATATATATATATATATATATATATATATATATATATACTACCTCCGTTTGAGTAGTTTTAAGCCAGATGAGGTGATCTTAGGGAGGCTCTAGAGACTCGTAGTGGATTTTGAGAAGTACTCTGCAAATTTATGGCCATGTTTGACTAAACCACCGGCTGAAACTGTAGTGTGGCGCCCTCCTCCTCCTGATGCTGTTAAGATTAATGTTGATGCTTCAACTCGTGAGGAGGGATGGATTGGATTGGGGGTCGTGGCTCGCAACAGTATGGGGTGTGGTGATTTTCTCTGCGGTCAGGAGAGTCAGGGCAAGATGGGACCCCTTGATTGCAGAAAGCAGGGCTGCTTTGTTCGGTCTTAAGAAGGCAAAAGAGCATGGTTTATCTAACGTCATTCTCGAATCTGGTAATGGTCACCAAGCTTCGTAGAGGCTCTTTTAATCTAGCTGCAGTCGATAGTGTTCTAGAGGACATCATGTTCATTAGTAGTTCTTTCTGTTCCGTTGTGTGGTCTAATGTTAAACGGGATGGTAATTTCGTAGCTCACCATCTCGCTAGGTTAGTGCTTTTTGGGGTTGAATAATGTTTGGGACAACCACTCTCCAAGTGAGGTCTCGTCCTATGTACTCCTCGATTCTTTTCTATGTTATGAATGCACTAACTTACTTTCTTAAAATATATATATATATATATATATATATATATATATATATATATATATATATATATATATATACACACTACCTCCGTTTCTTATTTTGTGCAACAAATTTGGTTGCACAATTCCCATGACAAAATTTCCATATGGTTGATTAACAAAATAAGGGGTATGTGATTAAGGGTAGGAGAAAGTCACCCACCACCATTATCCACCCATTGAGCCACCACCACCATTACCCAGTTAGCCACCACCAACACCCACCCACTCCACAAAACCACCACCACCACCCACCCTCTCCTCAACACCACCCTCGCCCTCCCCTAAACCTAATGCTGCCTCCCCCCGTCACCACCTCTGTTAGGTTTTCAAGTAATTCTAGAGCAAGAACTACTTTAATAATTGTGGGAACAAAACTTAAAAGTGTATAATCAATATCAAATTATACAACAATCCTAATACAATTCAATGTATTACAACCAAACACCAAAATAACACAAAATTCCAGAAATTACAGCGAAAAACACTAGTGTGAAAGATAATAAACTTGCCTCTACTCCAAGCCTTAGAAAACGAACATGAACATGAGAAAAACCGGTGACCGCTTGAGTCTCAATCCTTGATACACTGTCTTAGGCGTGTGAACACTTTCCTAAAGAGTTTAATTTCCTTCACAACGGTGCTTGGGTTTGATCCGGAAATACTCTTTGAGATACAAAAGACAGCCAATTGTTCTTTGCACTAAGAATCGAATTGAAGATGAATAATTTACAATATTGAATTAATTGCAAGAGAATTCTCACAAAAGTTTGCAAGAAATTTGAGAGAATAAGGGTGGAGAATTTCTTTGGAGAGATTGATCGAATTTTTTTGTCTATCTCAAAACCAAAAGCCCTGATACAATATAAAGAAAATAACCGCAAAATCGTAGAAGAGGGAGGAGGCGCGGGCGCTCCACCACAGGAGCGCGGGCGCGCCACCCTCCGGCATGGGCGCGCCACCTTCGTGCGCGGCGCTCCTCCCCGTTTTGCCAAATTTTCAATTTTTCCAGAATCCTGGCGCGATTAGGGCGCGGGTCGCGCCAAACTTTAGCGCGGGCGCGCCAACGGAGGAGCGGGCGCGCCTCCAAAATTTGCCAGCGCGGTTTTGTCGAGCTTTCGGAGCGGGTCGCGCCTGCCTTTCACGAGCGCGCTAACAAGTGGAGCGAACTCTCCACTTCAACACTCTAAATAACTCAACAACCTCCACTCTTGCCAACCCCCGCCTCTGTAAACCATCCTGAAACTACACCCAACCACCAGTGGTCCAAATCCATTCCGATCCGAAATAAATTTTGGATTTCAATTATCAAATCCAATCTGATCCGAATTCCTCACTAAATCTAATCCGAATTAAAATTCGGTTATTTTAATCTGATTCGAAAATCCAAATAAAATACGTTTATTGGGTCTAATTGGTTCAAAAACTCGGCTGTTACGTCGCGAATCGGCCGAGACATAACGGATTTTGAAGCTGCCTTAGATATTTACCGGTACAACACACTGCTTTACAAAACTCCGCGATTTCGGCCGATACGACCGTTTTAAACTGAAATTCGGCCGCATCAAACATTATTAGCGAATATCCAAAGAAAAAACATCGAGTTTTAAGCTCTGTAGACATTTTTTCCGGCAAGGGGTTCTGAAATCTCCATAAAAGTCGAGCTCGAGTAGTTTTCTCTAACCGAATTGAAAAAAAAAAAAAAATCTATTTAAGGTGGGGTACAGGCGTACAATTGTTCTAACCGAATTGAAAAAAAAAAATCTATTTAAATAAGGTGGGGTACAGGCGTACAATTGGTTATTAGACATCACTTTTTATCCTCTTTTGAAATTGACGTGACCCCACTGCTTTCGTGCTTCTCTTTCCTTCTTTTTTTTCTTATCTCACATCCCACGTGACCCCCACCCTTTCTCTTCTCCTTTTTCAATTACTTACCAAGGGCCCACACTCAAAAAATGGATTTTAATTTTAAAATATAAAGAGGAGTATCGGAATACATAGTAGTAAAAAGAGAAATACATAAGATTTTCAAAATTTAAGAGAAAAACCATTGTAAAAATATAGAGTTTAAAACTTAAATATTATTTTAAATTTTTACGCGACAACGGCGATACGATCCGCGATCAACGCATCAATTCCGTTACCAAATCAGCGACCGTTTTCGCGAACGCGACTGAAATCGCATTTTCGAACTATGGCCTAATGCGATTATAAAAATAAAAATGCATTTATAAAAATTCAATTCTTGAAATCATAGTTATACACGATTAATACAAGTATTAAAAAATAGTTTTACATGATTAATATTACTGTAATTAATATAAACATAGTTTAATATGATTAATATTAAAAATCCTTATTTATAAAATAACGATTTCATATTTCGGTTTTTTTTTTTTTTTTTTTTTTTTTTTTTTTTTTTTTTTTTTTTTAATCCAAACAAGGTCAATCCGATCTGATCCGAAAATCCAAATTTTCAAAAAAATTCAATCCGATCCGATTTAAAGTTCGGATCCGAATATAATAATTTGGTTTGGACTGGATTTGATTTTGGTTTTAATCTAAATAATGGACACTCCTAATACTAACTCCAAAACCACCTTCCACAAAAAAACCACCACCATGAAGCCACCTTACACCACACTCTCGAACCGCTGTCTCACCCTGAAACCACCTTCCACTAACCTAGAAGGCACCATATTAAACCCACCTTTATTTAAAAAAAACCACCACCAACAACCCTAAAAGTATGAACAAAAAGATAAAAAAAATGGGTTTTTGTTAATTATTACCTTCTCATCATTAATTAGGGTTTTATATGGTCAAAGTAGTCAAATTTGACCATGAAAATTCTAGATTTAGAGTTTTTGTTATCAAATTTCACCATAAAAACCTGAACTTTAAGCCTTAACGATGATGAAATAAAATAGGAGAGAGAAGAGGAAGCCGGTGATGGCCCATGAGCCTCCACGATGGTCGAACTCGACTCAGATCGTCTTTCACGCTTGCGGGTGGTGGTGGAGGTTAGAGTAGTTTGGTGGTGGAGGTTAGAGTAGTTTGGTGGTGGTGGTCACAGTTTAATGGTGATGGTCGGGGGGGGAGTTTAGTGGTGGCGGTGGTCGGAGAAGATGAAGAGAGGAGAAGAAATCTTGATAAAATGATGAATCATGAGTGAATGACTTTATTTTGGGTAATTTAAGTAAGAATCATTAGTTAAATTAATGTGGTTGATAACTTCATAATTTCTGATTTGATTTGTTAATTGAGTTTGAGAAATTATAAATAAGGGTAATGTAGTAATCTCACTTAAAATAATTTACTAAAAAAGTAAAGTTTTGATTTGTTGCACATAACTTGTAACATCTTCTTTGGCAAATGTTACACAAAATAAGAAACGGAGCTTGTGTGTGTGTGTATATATATAATATATAATCAAGTTATAATGAGAATCAAGGCTAAAATGAGAACCAGGAACTAATATAGGCCCTTAGATCATGTTAATCAAACGATCCACATGCTTCCCGTGTCATTAATGGAATTTTCGTAATATTTCAACTTTACAAAGTAGTTTCCAGTATCATTTCTAAAAAGTAAATGAAAATTACTAAAAGTAAATGAAATCAGTCATAAAGTAAATGAAATTGCCTTAAAGGTTAGAAAACTGGAAAAAAGTTTGAAAAGCTGCGAAATTACGAAAATGCCATTAATGAGGGCGGGTGAAACGGGAGTTATCAGATGGAGTGCGATAATGGCTGATATTGGTTCTTAGTTCTCTATATATAACCTAGGTTCTCATGTGATCTCAATTCTATGTATAACCTAGATACTCACATGATCTCAATTCTCTCTCTCTCTCTATATATCCTTTAGTAGTTTAGTTTGATGGAATGGATTGCTTTCTCTTGCTCATTCATGAATGGATCGAAGAATTGCGAATTGCGCATTAGTTCTTTTCAATCTCTCATTAAGTCCTTAGTTTCTCTATCCTCGCTAACCTTCCTCATCATTATTATTTCATTTATTTGCATATTTGTTTTTCTTCTTAAGTGAAAAAGATGTAACTTTTGAATTAAAATATTTGCAATTCGAGAAAGAGTGACTTAAATATTCTGGAGTAAATTAATAAACAAGCATATAAAAACTAGTTACATTGAAAAGTAGGTAGTTCCACTAAATGCACTAAACAAGAGGAGGAACGAAGGTTGGCATTGAGACGTGTCTGTTTGCTATGATTTACATGTTCATTATATAGAATAGCTCTAATACAGTTGCAATTATGAGGTCATATTATAAGAGATGAACACTAAACAGGTTAATGTGTAATTTTTTTTTTTGGGCGTGTTTTGTGTTTGTAGTCTTGAATTTATTATAATCAACATGCACTGAAATGTTAAAGCATGTGCCAAAAGTATATCCTGTTATCTTTGACTCCTTAGTAGAAAAGTATCACCTTCTTTTGTGTCGTGTATGTTAAAATCATTTTGTTTTTGCATTGTGGTTTTTTTTTAAATATTACTCCTGTTTCAAAATAAATGCCATTTTTTTTTATTTATAAAAATTATTTATAAGTATAAATCATAAAAAGTTTATATTCGAAACTATACATTGAGACGATTTGAACAAAGTCCAACATGACTATGTTTAATCTTATGAATAAAATTCTAACATTAGTCAAAGTGGTGTAGGTAAATAGTGTAAAAGTTAAACTGGGGCATTTATTATGAAATAAAGGGAGTACATGACAACTTTTAGATTGATTGATCAGAGTATAAGCAAGGAGACATCTTACTTGTATATATGGGTGAGCACAACTAGGTACCTGTTAAGAATGACAGGAAATTGGTTAGGACCGGTTCCTAAACTTCAGAATTCGGTCAAATTGGCTGCTAAAATTGTGGAATCGGACTTGTCGGGTAATAGTTTTGATTTAGGTACCCGGTGGTACACACACACACAACACACACCAATTGATATGTTTAAGTCTATTAGCCTATTTTATTTTTAACACTTACATTTAATTGGAACCCGTTCCTAAGTCCTAACCTCTAGGTACCCGAAATTTTAGCTCATCCCTACTTAAAAAAGTTGCGGTGTTATTGATCATGTTTCAAGTGGTATTATAATAGTTGGTTATTTTGCTAAAACATTCTCTGTTTTGTTGTCACAACTTGTTTGTTTTGTGGTAAATATGTCATGTATTTTGGCGCTCGGCAATTAGCGGATGTTGTGACATATAGCAAATTGTATTGGCTATTTTGTGTTGTAGGTGATACTTTGTTATAGTATATAGGTGCATTTGCAAAGTACTTCCTCCATTTTCCTAAGTTCTACTCACTTTCCATCTTCATTCGTTATTTTGAAACTCACTTTTACTTTATTCCTTCCATATTGATCTTCCTTTATTCAATTTTTTCATCTACAATGACACTTTGTGTGGCCCAATTTTATCTAAATAAATCCCTTACTCTTTATTTCTCTCCTCTGCTAAGCAAAAGTAGTCACATACATGGATCCCATTTTCACCTTTTGTCGACTTTTGTAGCTACGGTAACCAAGTAGAACTTAGGAAAATGGAGGGAGTAGTTAAATTGCTTTTTTGGTGTTATTGGTTGTACACTATTTTACTTGTATGAGTGTTGGGTGTTGTTACATAATTACATATGCAACTAGTTGAATAGTTTTGTCATGGGGCTGTCCTTAAACTGGACAAAGGTGCAAGACTGTGGGGGCATAAAGGTTTCCATACCCATATTGGAAGACAAAGTGAAGTGTGTATATTTATGTTTATATTCTCTAAAGGTTAATTCTTTCACTAGAACTCAAGACTGATTTAAATATGCTCAAGGGTTCTACTTTTCAGTATGTTTCTCTTATGAGTGTAATAGTATCTTGCAATTTAATGTTTCTTTGAGATATGCAGTTTGTTTTCATTTTCTTGTTGAAACTGTATTAACATTTGTGTGTGTGTGTTTTCTTCCTAAAACAGGCTGGCTGCTAAAACAACCCAATTGGAGGGGGAAAAAATGCAAAAAGAAGCTGAAGTACAGAAACTGATGGATGAAAATGTGAGGTTGCATGCTTTATTAGACAAGAAAGAAGCCCAGCTATTGGCCATGAATGAACAATGCAAGGTGATGGCCCTGAATGCTTCTAATATCTAGACTTAGGGCAATCACATGTCTCCAATTTGTGTGGTTTGCTTTCTTTATTCTGTAACATTGTACAGCTGCTTAGCTCTATTGTTGAAGCAGAGCTGAGCGCCGGGAAATCCTTCGATTTGAACTGCTGTGGCATTTTATGTAGCATGGTGGAGGAGCTGCCAAAATTGTACTCTAGTGAATCGACTGTTGTAACCAATGAAGTGGATTATTCATTCAATCAATGATGCCAGAAGGCTTTTATCCTGCGATGTTTATTTTGCAATTAATTAGGGAAATTTTCAAGAGTACCCCGGAAATTTGATGAAATAGCCAGATTGACTTTATCACCTCAAGTGGGTACATGATGCGTATCCGAATGGATGAAAGATTGTATATGAATTTGATGGTGAAAAATCAAGGATAACGATTCCAAAATCCTAGTTAACAACTAGTTTAAACCTGTTCTCTTCCAACAATAGCTCAATAATCTCAACTTTTCTTTTTATTTTTGGAACAATAATCTCAACTTTTTTTCATAAAAATTCCAACTAATGTTGACATATGACTAATAT